ACACACACACACACACACACACACACACACACACACACACACACACACAGAGAGAGTCCAGCCCTACCTGATTCCAGACCATCATAAGGTGTGATGTAGTACCATTGTTACACTTATTCAGAAATAAAGCACTCATCTGTGACCATAGATCACTAATCAATAGTAAACTATATATGCTCACCTTCTTTGTCTCTGCAAAGACATAATCCTCCATCTCCTTTGTCATGACGTCCTCTGGGAGGGTCTTCAGTTTGGTTGACAGAAACTTGATGGCCCTTTCCCGCACGATGTCCTCTCCTTGCAGGATCTGAGAGAAGAGGCCTCCGAGAGTACCTGAGCAATAAAAGATGTATACGTTACATGTTTGAAAGGATGGACCATGGACAGTTACTTATACATTCATTTTTCACAGGGTCCTCTTTCAGCACAGCTCTGAAGTGGGTTGAATTATTGAAGAGCAGTATTTTGGCTCAGCGGGGGGGGGGGGGGGGGACGCAGCGCTTACCCTTAGCGTCTATCTTGAAGATAGAAACAAGTGCTCCATTCACTTGGTTGAACTCTGGTGTATCATCTGAAAGCAAAGAAATACAGATTTCTAACATTTGCAAAATCAAGAGAACAATATACTGTTAAGACTGACAAGACAATGTGATATCCAAGTTATTATACAGACTGAAAAACAGATTATGATATTCAAAATGGATCACAATAGCAGTGCAAGTAAACGACATGGCTGTATGGCCAGCGAGGTCATTTGTAAAAACAAATAGAATACCCAAAAGGATACCGAAGTCTCTTAAATGTTTAGCTTGAAGCATCCAATACCTGTCTGAAGGAGCTGGGTGAGAATATCTGCAACTCTGAGGATGTTCTCGCCAGTTGCAAACCTCGGAAGCTCCTTGATGGCCTGCCGTCGGATCTGGACAAATACACACAGAGGGGATTGAGCCCATTTAGACCGCTTCTGTTGTCATGTTTATAAATGAAGAAGGAAACCCCAAATCAACAAACACATGGAGCCTGCAATTAGAACTGCAAGTTCATCCGATTCCCATACACAGCTGTGTCCTTCAATGCTCACCGACACATCCTCGTCTTCACAAAGATCAAGCTGGGCATTGATGGCCGAGTCGGCCAGTTCCGGAAAGCTGCTGAAGAACTTGGGGATAAACTGTGCCGCCAGGCGCTTCTCCTTCGGGCCACCCTTCACGCCATCCAAGATTACTTGGTAGGCATCTTTGTGCTGCAGAAAGAAGAAATAGTACATCAATAAACCACATTAGAAAATAATTCATACTGAAGCTCACATTGTAATATGATGTAGGTTCCAGATTTAAAGTGACTTTGGTCCAAGGCTCACTGGAGCAACATACAGCTGAACCTTTTTAACAGTGGGTTTCTTGGGACATTGAGTTAGTCATGCTCAGCTCTATGTACGTTTGCTACTGTGAGGTGGGACTGCTATGAAGCAGTCTGTGTGAGGGCAGAAATGGGGACATAGAAAGGTAATTTTAGCCTGTGAAAACAGTTGTATGATGTTCCACGTAATTCTGGGAAAGCTTTCTTAGGTCTGAGGAAATAACTGGGTGACTACAAATTGATAATAGAAGCATTACAAACTGGGGGTGTGAAGTTTTAAAGAGACCTACCATGCTATGGCTCTGCAGCATTGACTTTGACCAGTTTTAGTAGGTCCTCCAACACTACACCTTTAGCTGACAGGCTGGTAACCTGTGTGCTTAACGTTAATTTAATTTTAAAAGGAAAATGGAGGAGGTGCCTTTAAATTTAGGTTGCATGTGGACTGGGTAGTTTCAGATTTGAGTTAATCCCAAAATAAACATTTAAACCTGCTGTGCCTGTTATACAGGAGTAACCCAAACTTGCAGAACTGGCTAAAAACTTGGTCACTCAACTGCAAACTATGTGCCATACATTTAAGCTTAGATAATTTACAACCAAATGCGTCGAAAAACAGTTCCCATCAACGTCCAGTGAAACATTATCTTGAATGAGAAGTAATGCGGTGAATTTCAGTCAACATTAGTTGAATTGAGTTGTCCTTAAATCGGTTCACAGTTGATGAAAATGTGTTTGTTCGTAGGTAAATCACCGTTTAGAGGACTTAAAAGTGATTTTAATCGAGTTTGTACCACCAAGAGTCGCTATGGAGAGGCCCTTAACATTAGCACGGACACTGCGTTAGCATGCTAGCAGTTAGCCTAGCAGGCTCACAACAATGTTACATAGCTCACAACAAAGTTAACGACTGCGGACGTGGAATAAGGTGCCGTTATATGTTGTAAAATAAACACGGTCGCCTAATTTACCTGACTGAGGTCGTCCTTAGCGTCAGCAAGGACCCCGTAGCTCCGATAGAGATCCTCAATAGTGACCGCCATCAGCGTGCGTCCGGGTGCCTGCCGCTCACAGATAAGACCGCCGATAAAAGAGAGCTCTTCTCTGCTCTGTTTCAAAAGACTTTAGCACAAACAACGCAGTATTATCGGGATATGTGTTCTTCGAAAAAGTCGCCGGGGAGAAATTTCGAGAATCCTCTGAATGAACACCCCACAACGGTTCGTCTTCCCGCAATCGTTGATGTGCAGGCTAAAACGCTACGGAAAAATAACTTGAGCGCATGCGCAGGTGTAGCCAATCGGGTGGAGACGCACATGTGACCAGTAGAGTGCGCCGAACAGATGCGCAGTAAAACCGCTTACCGTAGGTCACCGAAATGATCAAATCAGATGGCTCTGGTTCAAATGACAAGTAAAAACAGATGAATAAATTAGGCTTATAGCGACAGAAATCCCTTTATTTTATTTCATGTATTATGTTCAAATGTTTGACATTTATACTTTCCTAAATTGTATAAGACGTCATACTTTTTATGTTTTCTATTGTACATTTTTCCATTTATATCATATCTCTTGACTTTTGCACTGTATTTTTGGTTATGCATCAAAACACCGAGACATTTCTTGTATGTGCAAACCTACTTGGTAATAAAACTGTTTCAGTTTCTGTTTAAAAACTGAAACAGCTGTCAACAATGTCTCAAAACCTGTGAGACCAATCTCTATATTCAGAGCTTTGCTCATCATGCAATAGTGTTCACTGATGTTTTTGAACGTATAAGACTGACAACTACATGTCATTCATCTTGTGGCAGACTCGGGTTCGTTCACTTGTTATTTTCTATGTGAAACAGTAATGTGACCTGAGTAAAATCGGACTAAGAGCCCTTTATTTGACTTCTGACAATAAATGATAAAAAAGGATACATCATAATGGACAGCCAGTGCAAACACTTTTACCGAACTAATGAGTTGCAACGATTCTGTACAAGCAATTTCCTCATCCAATAAAATGTTTCTGGCATAAAATTAAATTGAAACACAAGGAAGTTCCAGATCCAAGAACTGTGGTTTCACAGGAACCGGATTCCTGCTCCAAACTGGACCCCGTCACATATCCTGCAAGGAACGGAGAAAATAAGTTGAAGTCAATGTCAAAGCAAACCAAGAATCTGATAATTTCCAGTGCATGTTAACTATGCATGGAACATGGAGATAGAGCGGGTCAGCCTTTGACTACAAGATTGTTGGTTCGATCCCCAGCTCGTCCTGTTCGCGTGTCCATGAGGGAGACACTGAACAGCAGCCTCCTGCTCCTAATGCTCCTTTGAGCGGACACAATAACAAACACACCAGATCAAGCGAAAGGTAAAGAAAAACGTTCCCCTTAAAGTGTATTTCACCCATGTAGACACATGTTTACATGTGTGACACCACCTGAGATGATGAGACCCTCCTGCTCAGACAGTTTCAGTTTGATTGTTTTGTTTACTCTGGTCTTTTTTTAAGTTATTCATTCATTGTCTGTTTGCAGGGAAGCTAATGGAGTTTACTTAGTGAGCCTAGAGTGTCCTTAAAGTAAATCAACTTAACCTACCTGTCTCCACTCTGGACTCCCATGGGAATGCAGTAATTCAGCTCCAGTCTGGCAATGTTCCCCAAACGCAGCACAATGCCGAGTCCGTATGACCAACGGATGCATTCTGCAAGTTTCTTCAAATGTGCTTGTGGCCCCTCACCTGAGTAAAAACAAACATATAACCCCAATCAACAGAAAATATATTGGGTATCTGCAAAATCTGGCATCAATATTTTGAGCTCTTCTTCGCCCGATCAAGAGCCAACTCTGTCCAAACCTGAACTACATAAGATAACAATTCAACCCAGTGACCCAATCCTTCCTAACAGAATTCTGGTCCATGAAACAATGAACCTTCAACAGTAATTACAGAGGTGCTTGCTCTGTTTCCAACTACTCACCATAGTTGAGGTTACAAAGGTTTCCGGCGTTGAGGAAGAAGTGTGTTCTGAAGAGGTCACCAAAGCCCCCCCTGCCTGGTCTGAAGGGTAGAGGGGTGTAGAGGTGGAGGCCTCCAGCCCAGTAGCCCTCTCCTCCCAGGTAGTCGCCTGCCATATCAGTAATTCAAGCACACAACCTTTCAATTAACCATCAAACTTCAGCCTGGTTACAGAGCAACTCAGCCAAGTTAATGTCTCACCTTCACTCTGTGGGCCCATACTGTACATACTGAATCCCCTGATGCTGGTGGGGCCACCTAGATAGAACCTAGCAGGTCGACAAAGACACAGAAAACATACAACATGTAATGTCAGCTTTCCATGAAAACAGAAAGAACCGTTCAGTTAATTAAGTTTTTCTGTTGAATTTAGTTAGCATCAAAATTGTACTCCCTCTGAGAGTCATAACTCAGTCGAATCTGAACATGATACACATATTTTTAAAATTAATGTGACTTACATTTTTCAAGGAAAAATATCTGCAATGTCCATTGCAAATAAACATATATAATCCACTTAGACATCTTCATTATCACAGTAATCCAGAGATGGTTGTCTGGACATGCATGTGTTCATTGCAAACAGGAACTGCCGATAATCCAGCATACATTCATTGGTGCCAACTTGCTAAAATGGCTCAAGTTGTCTGGAGTGTCGAGACTTCAAAATCCCTTGGCCTTGTTGTTGAGGGTAAAAGGGTGGTGCATTGTATTTCTGTACCTGTCTGCTATGCTTGTTGGCTTGTCACCAATGGGTAGGAGCACACCGCCCCACAATGAGGCAGAAAGGACCTGGAGGAGAGAGTCAAAGGGGTTAGTATAGTGCACAGAACCTAAATTCTTTACTAGAACCTTGTACTTTGGCCCAGTAAAACTGCTTTAAGTTAAACTGCAATAAAGGTAGGGTTAGTAATCTACTTCAAAAACATTTTTATTATCTTTGTTGAAACTCTTACTACATCCCGACAGAAATCAACAAATCAAATGCTCTGGTATCTGTGGCTGTGTCAGGACTGTAATAAGAATATACTCTTGCTAGTCTCTCAAGAATACCAACCCTAGCTTTAAGAGTCTTTAGCTCAGATAATTTGCTAAATGGCTGAAAGGTCAAATCTAGAATCTCACCGAGTCCCAGAAGAGAGTTTTGTTGAGCTGTATCTCAAAGTCCTCCTTCAGGAAGCTGGCGTCTCCCCCAGTGTAACCAGCAAGTTCCTACACAACCACAACACAACACGTCAGTGAAATTGTTGTTTATATAGGAATTGAAAAAAGCTCTGGCTTAGTGTTAAACAACAAACCTGATGGATCTTCAACAGGCCACCTTTCCTGGGAAGAATGGAGGAGCTTCTGGTGTCGATGACCATCGAGTGCTGGAAAACACAATGACACCGTCAGAAAACGTGCTAAAAACTGGTTTAGTACTACAGCGTCTTTTTGGATATTCAAGTTTACATTTTGGCCTGTAACTTTGGCATCTTAAGTTTCAAAAATATTTTTTTCCCTGGATTCTGTGGGTCCACACGTATCTATCCACATAAGCCACGCCCATTTGTATCCATATTGTATTTCCGCCATTTTGAATCGTGTCAAAATCTGGTTGTTTTTTTCGCTACCCCTCCTACAAATTTTGAGCGATCGCTCAAGACCAAGCCGGAAAAAGTTATTTTTCATTTTTTCGATGTTCAATACAGTTTTGCTATAGCTGGCCCTCAAATGTAGATCAAATGCTGTAAGCAGGGCTCGTATTACATAACATTTTTAATGATAATGACAAATTTGGTGCCATTTGGCAAATAGGTTGCACTGTAGCAGTATAATCTACAAAGCAAGGATATCTCAAGAACAGTTAATTCAATCTACTTTTAATATTAATAAACAAGTGAAAAGTCCTCAGTGCATCAGCGTGGGCGGAGCTTCGGGGGTTTACAGACAAAGTCAAACATGTCTTCCGCTGCGGGCCTTTACAGGCCGTGGCTCATTGACTGCGGTTCAGTTTTGCTGCTGGATGCTATTAACGTTACAACCAAACTCTTCTTCACTTCCCTGGAATCAATTAGCGACGAGCGGTTCTTGACAACCCTGCAAAGAACGTCCAGGGGCCAAGCAATCGGCCCCCTCCAAATGAGAACTGCACTCGTCAGAGGGAATCCACCATTCACTACCCTCCACATCATTTTATTGGAATGTGTTGTGAGCAAATTTTTGAAAACCCTAGCTGAAGCACTGAACAACAGCTTTGCCATTAATTCTCTGACAGCAGACTTCATGAAACCCCACAGCTGTTTCAAAGCCCACAGTAAAATATTCAATGTAAAATATGAGACGAATACCGAAAGTGAGGACTTGAGGGAATGGCCGCTCTCCTCCCGGACGGCAAACGAGGCAGTGCGAGCCAGACAGCCCAGCTCTCTCCACACTCCCTCCCACTTCAGGGTTTGGTTGGTCTTCCACACAGGGAACTGTGGGTGGTAAATTGGTAATAAGACACCGGTTTATTACTTTTATTTGTACAGATTTTAGGCACTCGTGTCTCCTTAAAACATAGGAAAAATAATGGCTCTGTGAAAGGCTTATCTTGGTAGGCCTCTGTCATCGTCCATCCGTACGTGATACGTTTATGTGAGGGCAATACAATTAGTCAAAAACAACGTTTTTTGGTTTCTAGGGAATAAAACTCAAACTCAGAACTAGACTTTGTGGTCCCAAACTGAACATTTTGATGCCTTCTATTGTGACAATCTTCAGCTCATTTTGTTTAGATACAACCTAAATGTGTTAATTCACTTCGTCGATGTGCACAAAGGCAAGAGATTTTTTTAACTGTACAAAATGATAAATAGAAAATAGGCACATAAATATAAACAAGTATTTACGCTCAATTCTCCAGAGATCCCTCGATCCGTCTCCCTCACAGAACTCCACGGAAACTGACCCGTTACTTTGTACACGTTGAGTAAGATACTGAAAGGGAAACAAAGAAGAGAGGAAATGTCAATACCCTGCTTGGATTCCCTTGCGATCATCAAACATACCCATCTATAGTTACTGCATAGATTACTCGGACACGACTCCAGGAGACCACCATGCTTACCTGAACTGCACACCGTGTATTAAGGTGATTAGACCTAAAAACAAGTGTGTTTTATGAAGCTCTTCATGTCTTACTTGCGTTCAAAGTTTCCTGGCTGGGGTTTGAAGAAAGACAGGCCGTAGGATGTTTCTTTGGTGCCGTAGGAGAACTGGAAGGTCATTTTCTCTGCCCGACCTAATGCATTGGGTAACTTCAGGCCCAGTACCTGAAAAATAAAGCGGGAGAGATGATCAGGGTTTCCGACTGTGTACTTAGAAGCAATGAAACTGATCTTTTCACTGAATCCGTCTGAAGAAATAAATACGTAACAGCATCACTAGAAACGAAAGCTGAAGTCAACATTGTAAATAATCTTAGTTAAGTCAGTGTATTGTAGCCAAGCCACTGTGATTTGGATCCAAGTCAGTCTGTGGCCTTTCAGAAAGCAGACGGTGACATGAACCATGGCAGCGCTCACCATGCTTCCCTCGTTGTTTCCAACCATGGTGTTGTAGCTGCCCGTCATCCGTCTCAGCTCGGTGACTTCAAACGTCACGTCGAGGCCGTTGGGAAGAGCGTCTTCACCTGAAGAGAGAGGAAAACAATGAGTCAGATGATGTATGTACAGCCCAGTTCCACTGTTTAACACAGAAGATGAATCATTAGAAATGTACTTTTATTTGAAAAGTGCATCTGCGCAACCATAAGGCCTCGGAGTAATCGCCAGTACCTCGGGAAGTGTCGATAACAACTTCTACTTTTCTGAAGATACCGAGACGCAGCAGCTTCTGTCGGGCTTCGTGGGACTTTCGCATCACCTGCACAACAAATGGAATGTTTTGATGCACTCAAAAGCATAAATTGGAAAAGTATTGATCAGTACAGCTGTATCAACATGCGCCTACATCAATCAAGTTCTTTGCCCGGAAAACTTCTGCGATTTCATAAGTCAGCAGGTCCTCCTTGGTTCTTCCGAGCCCATCTATGTGCACCCGTTGAATTACGACCTGTAGAACAGAACAAACAGAATTAGGAATATTTACCTAAAACAAACAAACAAAAACCAAATATTAAAATGCTGTTTCTCCCTTCTATAGCATGTCTACTAAAGCTGCAGTTTGCCTGCATTTCAGGTTGTTGTTTTAGATTTATTGTTTCACTTCTTTCATTTACAGCTCGTGGGATGGATGCGAGGCAAACAATCCCAAACTCCTCTGCTAGCAGAGCACAAACAAAGCGTGGAGACAGGCCTCACAACGTGAGAGTGCACAGTTTAATTACTGCCTGGAACAAAACAAATCTTACATTCTTGTTCTCAAGAACTTCTTGCTTTGGCTCGTGCTCAATCTCCGGAGCCTCGATGTCGTCAGGTTGAACTCCGAGCTCTGGCCCTCGCATGGGCAGAGGGTCCAGGCTCTGCAACACAAAATAAGAAGGAGTGTGTTATACGTTTGACCAATACGGAGAGGAGTTTACATTCTACAATTACACTATATTACACATGTTGGGAATGCCAAGTATTCTCCACAACAATGAAGTGCCCAGCAGCAGAGTCGGGCTGCAACGGTTATTTTTTACTATTATTTTCTTGATTATTTGATGAATCAATTGTATGTCCATCACATTTTCAAATGTCTTGTTTACTGTTCAATATAAAACAGAGAAAAGCAGCGAATCAGCACACTGGAGAAGCTGGAGCAAGAGAATTACATTTTTGCTTAGAAACAGCATTGATGAGGTGAAAATAATTAATTGATGAACAAAATAGTTGCAACTAGTTTGTCAATTGACTAATTAATTGATTAAGCGATTCATTGTTCCCAAGCTAAACCACACCACAATGCAGTGAGATATAATTTCCATAAAATATAATTAAACCGATTAACAAAAACGCATACATTGGACATTTTTGGCCATTGTTGGTGACACATCCATTTTATTATAAAGTATGCAATAGAAGAATAGGATGTTGCATGTGTGCCCAGACAAAAAAATAAATACAGGAAAATTAACGAATTAAAAAATGATTATGAGCATGACAAATTAACAGAAGAGTGAAAATAATTCAAAAATATTTTTTGTTTTAATACCAGTTTTATTTATAACAATAACAATAATACTTATTGATGTATTGTATTTTGGACTACTCTTGGCCCTAGCTACAGTCCTACCACATGTATTGAGAAGAATAATGGTGTAAACAACACTAAGTATTGTAGCAGAGTGTGCAGACTGCAGTGAGTGGAGGAGCCACGAGCATCTCGGTCAATGATTTATATCTAAATACACTCAGCAGAGCCTTCACGTTTAATGGAGTCAAAAACTAACTAGCAGCGAATTAACAGAGTTTCTTCTTGTCACAAAGATGAAAGCCTGAGCCTTGTAGGACCATGTTGAATGTGCAGTGTGGGCCTCTTTCTCTCTGCACAGCAGCCGCCCTGTCAGATAACTCACTGAACACACGGAGAGGTTAGTTAGTCTTAGCTAACGCGTTCACCGGGCGGTTCCTTACCCTGGCGTGGACGGTGCCCATGCTGAGCTCCGCAGGGCGCGGTCCCGGTAAAATACGGACGAAGCGTTAAAAGACCGACAAATTTAACCTACAAGTTACCGGAGGAAAGTCGACGAGGCTCCGTTGAAGGAGGCGGCCATGTCACTTCCTGACCACGCCCCTCTGCTGCTGCGCATTCAACACAGCGACGCTGCAATATGTAAATAATGGATAAATAATGATAATAACCTTTTCTAAAAAAGAAAAATGTATACTACCATACTATTTCCACTACTGTTTTATTTGTTATGTTGTATCAAATTATAAAATATTATACTGTATTATTATTTAATTTATTACCAATAAATACAAATAATTCTAATCATATTACTAATAATGGCAATAATAATAATAATACTATTAAAACAACAGCCTAAAATCAAATCAAATTAGAAGCGTTTTCCTTTTCTTTTCAGATAGAGATCATGCTTGCCAGAGATCACATCATATTTTCTAAATGTATCCGCCTGTATCCGTAAATGTATTTAACTAAAATGAAATTGAGTTTACATTTGTGTTTTTATAAAAGGCTTTCATATAATGGAGGATACATACACAAATCACTCCCAACTTTCTGTTGACATCTATGTAGGTTGGATGGTGAGATGGATTTATTACTACACAGTATACATTAAGTTAGTTATTTTACACGAATATTCATTATCATTATTATGAACTGTATTCATTATCCGGTTTTAGGAAAGGTTATGCTGAGGAGCAAACCAAAGTATCATCCTGTTTGGTGAAAACATGCATTATGAAATATATCTTCAACGTATGAGACTTTGTTAGACTGACCAGTGGTGTGAATTTAAACCACTGGGAAAGAATTTTGTTTTATTTCGATATCAGAGTAGAGAGGGAAAACAGAAATTCCCCAAAAATATAAAACTGTAGTAAAAAGGCTGGTAAATGAAAATTACCAAAATCAGAAAACACATTAGCAGTTTAATAGAAAATGTGTTTAATCTACAAGACACAGCTCCACATAAAGACCCAATGGCAACATCCAAACGCATATCAATATCATAATAAATAACACATCAGCTGAAGGGAACATCAAACAGAAGCTCACAGTTGTTCATATGTTGCTGAGCATCTCTTCAGGCCTTCAACCCTGTAACAACACAATGAGACAAAACGATCTTCATAACATGGTGAATTTTAAAACGCTGGTGAATATTGTCTTTGTAACGCTGTTCAGATTGTACAGGGTGCTCTTACACTTCTGTTTTGAAGGTCTCGTGGGATATTCTGTCTTCATTGACACCTTCGGGGCATTCGTTAATATCTTTGATGCCCAGCGTGGTCAGAGCTGTGAGGAAAGGAGACTCTGTTAGTAGTTGTTTTAGTCCAAAGTGTCATTATTAATTATTGGATGATATTATATTTTGCTGTATGAAGCAATAATTGGGTGAATTAAAACTACCTTTATGTGATGTATAAATAAATAGGCAATCACTATTGTTTCTAAAACAGAAAGACTGAATGAATACCTGACAAATGCATGAAAATATTGTTTATCCTTTTCATGAGTGAGCTTAGAATTTTGTTGCTGATATTAATACATATCACATATTTAATCATATTGAAAGTGAAAGCCTAATATACTGTCCATGTCCCGTGCTCACCCTGCTTGTATTGGGCCAAAGTGATGTATTTTTGATTAGCGGGGTCTAGTATCCCAAAGACTGCATCCAGGTTGGCTTTGTTGAACAGATTGGGCCCTTTTGTACCGTTCTGCTGAGCAATCTTCAGCTGCTCCAGCTGCTCAACAAGAAACTCTCTGGGTTTCTCTGAACGAAAGAATACATCACAATTAATCACTGATATGAATGTTTCTGGTAATTAAAGTTACTTACAGGAAAAATATATGGAGCAACAATTTCAAAATTAATAAAATGACATAGAACATTACAAGTTAACATACGACAATGCACTTAGACAATATCAACACTTGGGTTCAAGTACATTTGTGTTGTGCTAACAGTTGTAAGAAAAAGACAATGTTTTATATGCAATTGTGTCGTTTTTAAAACCACATTCAGGTTACTACAGGCAATAATAACCTATAACGTTATGTATCTCATGATGTATATTTATTTCAGTGTATTAGCTAACCCTGTTTCCATTCTTTCCATCTAGCAACAGAAGTCTTGATCCAGTTAAATAAGGTATAGCCTATAGCCTAAAGAGTGACATGACAGGCTACAACCAAACACGTGTTATGGTCTTTTCATTAGCCTGCCCAGAGCACGTGTGTTATAAATGGAGTTAGCTAGCTAAAGAAACGAGAGGGTGTTGGCTTGTTGCTCTAACCGGGTCTGTAAAAGAAGAGCATGCTGGTCAGGTTCTCCACGAGCTCTGGTATTTTGTGTTTCTTCAGATAATCAGCGACGTCTTGCTCTCTCTGAGTCGCCATCTTTTCCACTTCACTTGTGTTTACACTTGTTGCTATGATACGCGAACATCCAACCGCGCTCACTCACGCACACTCGTTC